AGGAGGAGGACGGAAGGAATCCACATTAAATTTTTTTAAATTTATAAGTGACTCTACACCTCTTTTGTTCAAAATTAGGCTTTCAAATTTTGGGAAACTCAAATAAAACTTCAGAACTCACATCATATGGCTCTGTAAGAGGAATTCCAAACTTCAAATGACTTCCTGGAAACGATTTGAAAAGTAAAAGATTCTTCAAAACTCCCTTTCCCTCCTCAAACAACGAAATTCGATTATCATTGACCGCGAATCCGTCCTTCAAAAATTCAATCGTATCGATGATTTCTTTTGGAAAATAACTTTTGATAAATGGAATATGAGATGCCATATGGCACGGATAGAATACCCTTCTGGGTAGCATTTCTGAAAAAATAGAGTTGTTAAAAATTTTCGGCGAAAATAATGTCAGGAAATCTAGAAGTTTTATTTGAAAAACTGTCTTCAAGTTTGCAGAAAACTCAAAAAAAACATTTGAAAAAAAAGAAAAAACAGAAAGTCAAATAGCGAAAACAAGAGGAAAAACAAGTGCGCCAATCAGATTTTTCGCGGGTAGATCAAAAAAAATTGCAATTTTTTGATTTTTAAAAATTTTATTGAAGAAAAAAGCAAAAACTTTAAATTTTAGTAACATTCTTAACATCTTCTTCAATCAAATCCATCGCGTTTTCCGAAAAATCTCCATTACACAAATCTTGATTACAGTAATAAAAAAATCTAAATGTTCCAGATTTTTTTAGTTCCTCAGGCGCTCCATCGCTAACAGTTAAGCATCCTCTGGAAGTTTTTCCGTCTTCATCAGTGGGAAGTTTGTAGCACAGGTGGCCTAGAAAAAATTTTAGGTCTTAAAAAAAATTAAAATCAGTTTTTGGAAATTCGGGCGTTTTCTACTTCCAAAAATTGGACAACTTACTTTAGTTTCCTGGAATTTCTGACTTTTTGAGTTTCTGAATTTTAGAATGTCTGGATTTCTCACCTCTACAATACTTCAACGCCTTCGTCGAACTATCATAATAAGATGAGCTCATATAGCACACAATATTTCCCAAAGGAATCGGAAAAGCTGATTCTCGATTACAAAATTGAGTATTGCATTTACAAGTGATGATAGAATTGCTCAAAGTACAAACGTTTACTGAATTTAGGTCATCGTTGTCTGAAATTTTTTAATTGGGATTCGTGGAAAAAATATATTTTTGACCAACATTCATCATCAGCACATCCTCTGTAAATCGGGTAAGGAGATGGTAAAATGTCACCGAAATCATTCAAAATCTGAAAATAAATCTGAAGGCGAAGATTTGTAAAAAGTTGAAATCTCCGAAAAAAAAAGCCCCAGAAATGGTCCAAAGAATATGATTTTCGAAGGAGTGGGGAAACTTTTCGGGGTTTGTTTTTTTTTAACGAGAGTAGATTTTGACCATTTTCAAGTGCCTGGAGCTCGGCTGTTCAGTTTTCGAACACTTTGAAAACTTAGGAGGGTATGAAACAGACCTATATTGAAAACTTTGCATTTACAGGGTTTCTCAGAAATTCCTAGTTTTTCAGATATTTGTAGACTCCTGAAGGACACCCCTTTTTTATCCGTTTTTGTACTGAAACCTGAAAAAGGAGGTCATTCAGAAATCTGCAAAAAACTGAAAAACTAGGAATTTTCAAAAAATTCTGCGAATACAAAGCTTCATACGCTTGAAAATGACCAAAATGACCGAAACAAACTAGGGAAGGTTGTAACTAGGGTATGAAACTTCGATATGAGACCTATATCATTCGAAAGCTGAAAAAGAGAGTTTTTTAGGTAAAAAAACCATGAATGGATGTTTTTCACAAGATTAGATAACCTACTTTCTTCTCGGAATCGAGAAATTGTGATTTTTTCTAACCTTTGTTACACCGTAGTACTGTGATGATCCCCCAGTAGCACTCAAAACTTGTGAAAACATAGATTCAAATCATCTATGATTAATTTATCACTGTGTATCTCCGAGAAAGAAAAAAATTTTGATGAATTTCGACCTACAAGAACTGGATAAAATTTTTTAGTGTTGATTAACAATGTGTTCTTAACGAATTAAAGAAAGTACGATTTTTAGAATTCAAATGAAAACATTTTTGAAAAAATGCGTTCAGGACATTTTGAAGATTTCCACGAAGACCGAAAACAAAAACAAAAAATATTTAAAAAAAGAGGAATCGAACAACCCTCCCTAGTAAACTGAAAAATATGTTTTTGTATACGGTACATCTTTTAACCTTGAAAAAAGTCACTCACGACTTCCCCCGAATATGAGCAATAATGGCCAAAACAGAAATTATTCTCAATTAAGTCCCCATTAAAACATTTGATAGTTGGAGAAACCGTCAAAGAAACATCCGAAGGAATTGTGAAAGATGGACCATTACATTTTTCAGTGTTGCCTGAAAAAATATTTAAAAGAGGCCAGACACCAAAAAAAAAGTTTTCATGATATTTTGCATAGAGAACCCCCATGAGGGGTTGAACTCATGACAGGCAGCTCAGGGGTACAGCGCCGCTACCGGCTGAGCTACGGGGGCGCGAAGACGCCTGACGACCGATGGTCTACATAAGCGCGGCGCAATTTCGTCCCCCGAACTGTCCCCCGAAATTTTTGCTGTCTCGCCTCCTTTAAAGTGACCGAAAATTAACAGAAAAAAGTTGAATACTGAAAAAATCTATTTCAAAATTATTTGATTTTAAAATAGTCCAAAAATTTTTGAAAATCTAAATACTCAATTTTCAGAAGTTCTGAAAATGTGAAAACTCACAAACACAAGTAACCAGTCCTTTTCTATTGGTTTGACACTGGCGATCCGTTAACAAATCAGCTCGTGTAGTTTTGCATCCCTAAATTTCATAACTTCAGTTCTCAGAATCATATAAAGTGGAAAAATAATCAGTGCCAATCGAATTCAAACCTGTTCTTTTAATCCTCCATTTCTCAAAATCCACGTGCTGAAACAATAGGATCCTGCTTCACAACCATCGGGGCAGTGTGATCTGGAACTTTTCAAAAATTTTCAGACAATTTTTTTTTAAATATTACCCAAATCCAGAACATTCGCATAGGAATTCAGAAGTGGAATTGAAAAATGTGAAAATCAAAAAAACTTCGAGAAAAATCATGGGACTTTGCGAGGGAAATGACTAAACACTGATTGAAAATTGTTATGAGCAAAAATTTCTAATCTAACTTCTACTTTCAATATGATCTAGCGGAGACCAAAGTTTTCTTAATCAGGTTTTCCAATACGCAAATTATAAAGTTGTCTGATTAAAAGGATTGGAAAAACAATCAATTTATTGAAATTGGGGATTAGAATATTAAAAAATTTAAAATTAATTTTTAGCAAATCCTTCTCTCAAAAATTCCCCATTGCACAGATCTTTATCGCAGTATTTATATCTTTCAAAATTTCCAGATTTTTTTGTTTCCACAGGTGCTCCATCGCTAACACTCAGGCATCCTCTGTCATATTGACCTTGGTAGTCCGTGGGAAGAAGATAGCAGAGGTGGCCTAGAAAATTGGAAAAAAGTTAGGCCGTTCAGAATTTCGGAAACTTAGGAATTTTCAAATTCATCAGTTCTAAATGTTTAGTTTTTTAAAATAAACTTTTAGCATATTTTTCTATTTTCCCTACTGTTTTTAGTTTTTCAAAGCTGTCCAAACTTCTAGCGGTATTAATAGAATTTCCCTGCCAAAAAATCATTTTTCAATTTCCCCAAAACTCTACGGAGTTTTCAATTTATTAAAACACTGATTCCCACCTCTACAATATTTCAGCCCTTCTGGAATATTTCCAGTAAATGGAGAGCTCATATAGCACAAAATGTTACCCAAAGAAACTGGAAATGCCGCTTCTCGATTACAAAATGACGAATTGCACCTGCATGAAATTACATTTCCGGATATACTACACATATTTACAGAATTCAAGTCAGCACTGTCTGAAAATTATTTAATTTTTAATATGTTTCAAATTGATGAAGATATCACATTTCCTCTGAAAGATATAAACAAGTAGTCAACTGATAAAATGTTCTTAACATTATGATAAACACTTTATCAGTTGAACACTTTTTGATATCATTTCCAGAAACCAAGATAAGCCTAATCAAAGTTGAAACATATAGGATTTTAAACTTACACTCCTCATCAGAACATCCTCTATAAGCTCGTATATCGGTTGGTATAAGATCGCCAAAATCGTTGATAATCTGAAAAAAATTATGTCATTTATTATCAAGTTTATTTCGGTTCCATTAAATGTATCAAAATGTGTTCAACGGACAAAATGTTTTTGATATCATAATACACATTTTGTCAGTTAATCACTCCACGATATCTTTCGCAGAAAACGGGAAAAATTAGCTCAACAATGACTAAGGTTTACCATTTCCATAGAAAAAGTACAATAATGACCAAAGCAAAAGTTGTCCTGGTTTAGGTCCATATTGAAGCATTTAACAGTTTTCGGAACTATCAGAGCAGCATCAGATGCAACAGAAAATGAGGCGTCGTTGCATTTTTCAGAGTCACCTGGAAATATGAATTTCGAAAAAACATGAAAATCTGAAAAAAAAAACTAGAATTGTGGACTTTTGGAGAAAAATCCAAAAAATTCTAAAATTTCTGAAAATTTTGAAACTGAAAGCATTCTGAAGATCGTCAAAAGTTCTGAAAATTTTAAAAACTCACAAACACAAGTAACCAGTCCTTTTCTGTTTGTTTGGCACTGCCGGCTTGATAATAAATCCGTTCGAGTAGTTTTGCATCCCTGAAATTCAAACTTTCCGGAAATCAAAAAAAATTTATAATTTCTAGGAGCTTCTGGAAATTAAGACTTTTTGGCTCTAATTTTTCGTTCTAACTGTCAAAATATCCAACCTGCCAAACAACATCTCCGCCTAATACTATCCACGTGGTATAGCAGTATGTGCCGGTATCACATTCCTCTAGACAAGCAATTCTGAAAAATTTAAGAAAAACAAAGAAAGTTTTTTTCCCAAAAATGTTCACTCACCCACTATTCGAACATTCACACTTAAAACTTGTGGTGATTTTTATTAAAATCTGTGCGAAAATCAAATATTTTAGCATTGTTGAAATTTTCTGAAAAATAAAAAAATATAGCTTGACCTGAAAAAATTGGAGGGGAAAAAGAAGGAGAAAAATCATGTGCTCATTTTTATTTTTAATCAAAAAAAAAAAAAGAAAATTGTCGACTTGATTAAAGACTAGATTTTATTAATTTCTTCTTGGTTTGGCACGTTTTCAGACAAAATTCCTGAATAAAACTTTTCAAGAAAATGAGCACAATTTTTATGCGAACATTGGAACAAACGATAAATTTTAAAATTCAATGTATTCCTTCAACTTTTCAATTTAACAATTTCATCCACTTTCAGGCGTTCCAGAACCTTCCACACTGTTTGAAATCGGCGTCACCGCATTTTCAGAATAGTCCCCATTACATAAGTCTTCATTACAGATTTTGAAATATCTGGATGCTCCGGGAAGTTTTAAATCAGCAGGTGCTCCATCAGAAACACTAAAGCATCCTCTTGTTATTTTTCCCTTATAATCTGGAGCCGTCATATAACATAAGTGACCTGAAAAATTGTAGTTATTGATGCTAAATTTGTTTTTTGAAAATAAAAATTTCATTGAAAGTCCTGAATTCTAGAAGATTTTTGGACTTATTGGTTTTTAGACTTTCAATGATTTTCAGAATTTTCAGATTTTATTTCAGATTTTTTATGAATTTTTCCTAGTATTTATGATTTGTGGAAGTTTTGAATTTTTCCTAAAATATTCTAAAACCATAAACTCTTCTTACCCCTACAATAGTTCAACGCATCAGGATTAGGATTCGTGGCATGTCCAAAATAACACAACAGATTTCCCAGAGGGACTTGCAATGATTGGTCACGATTGCAGAATTCTGAATTACACTGGCAAATGATACTGTCATCTATTGCATAACAAACATTCGCGGAGTCTGTATCATCGGCGTCTGAAAAAAGTTTGTTTGAAAATTTGAAAAAAAAATCGGTAAATTTTCTAAAAAATTGTTTAACCGCGACGCTTAAGAGCTGTGTCGCTTCAGAACCGCGAAGTTTTAGAACTATGATGATTCAGAACCACGTCTTCTAAGAACCGCGATTTTTCAGAACAACGGCGACTCAGAACCGAAGTTTTCGAATCACGACTTTTCAGAGCAGCGAAGATTTAGAACCATGATGTTTCAGGAAAAAAAAGTTCACAGACTCACAAACTGCATCCGAACATCCCCGTTGTATCTCATAGGATGACTTAAAAACGTCGCCAAAATCGTTCATAATCTGAAAGTTCGATTTCAGTGACTTCCAATAAAAATCAATATTATACCGTTTGTGCTTTATAGGTACAGTAATGACCGAAACAGAAATCGTCGTCTTTCATACTGTAACTATAGCATTTGATGACTGGTGGAGCAGTTAGAGCTATATCTGATGGGATGGAAAACGAGGCGTCGTTGCATTTTTCAGAACTGCCTAAAAAAAATAATAACCACTTCTTATGAGAATCGAAAACAGGATTTCTTCTTTCCCTATCCAAAAAATGAGTCATAAAACTAGATCAAAAATCACACTTCGCCAGTCATCGGATTCTTTAAAAATCGCCCTCATCAATGAATCTACCGTAATCCTTTCACTCACAGACACACGTAACCAGTCCTTTTCGATTCGTTTGGCATTGTCGATCCGTCAGATCGGTACGGGTCGTTTTGCATCCCTACAAATCGACCTTATCAAGTTTTTCTATTTGATTTGGGTTGATTTAAAAGTGATGTAGATCATAGCATTTTTTGTAGTTTGTAGGCAAGTGAAAAATTCGGCGAATAGAAAATCCAGCAATTCAAAAAATAAATCACTAAATTTGAGAAATTTCAAAAAACCTAGAATCTCTGAAATTTGAAAATAAGTCCAAAAGGTTTGAAAATTGGTTTTTGTTTTCAAATTTGAAGTTTATTTTCAAATTTGAAGAAAATAAAAACTCCCAAAATGAGACCCACCTGCTCCTTAATGGCTCCGTGAGCCACAATCCACGTTGTGAAACAATATGATCCAGATTCACACATTTCATCTATGCATCTTGAAAACTTTGACAATTAATTATTGAGTTTTAATTACCTTCAACTTGGAGGGTTTTCTAAGTTATCTAGCTTGGTGGCCTAACTTTCTCAAGATGAGTTTTCTAGGCCACCATATTTTGTGGCCTGGAAATAACCTAATATTCATCTAGGCGTTTTCTAGCCCATTTTAGCACGGTGGCCTATCTCTCTCAAGATGAGTTTTCTAGGCCACAATGGCAAATTACACAGAAAAAAGTAGAATATTTATTTAGTTTGTTTTCAATGTGATTTTTGCATACTGGCCTAACTTTCTCAGGTCGAGGTTCTCAGGCCATTATGGTAAATGACCTAGAAAACGCACTAGGTGAATATTAGACCATTGCTAACTCATAAACGTTAGTGGCCTAGAAAATTAGTTTTTGGAAAGTTAGGCCATCACTCCTGGTCCCAACTCAATATCTTACCCCGTGTAGTATGCTGAACAATGACACCGAAGAGACGCAACATTTTGTATCAAGATAACAATTAAAATTACAACTTGAAACATAAAAAGTAACATTTTTTGAAAGAAAAAATGGGAAGTTAGTTCAATAGATTTCAATCTAATCTAGATTGAAAGTGAGATGAAAAATTTCACCATCATCGTTGCCATGGATTTTTTTCGATTAAAAATTTTGCTTCGAGATTTACACCTGTCTTTGACGGTGTATTACAGATTGGAATCAGGATATTAAAAAGATCGAAAGTGTAAAAAAAGGAAGAAATGAAAGTCTTAAAAAATGAAAACGATTTCTGGAACCTTGGAACTTCCAAATCTATTTTTTTCTATAAGAATTTGTTTATCTGAGGGTCTACTAGTGTTGATTGGGATTTTTTTATTCACAAAATTCTGAAGTCGCAAGATTTCTAAATTCCAAGAGTCTGAGATTCAAACTTGTTGCCTGAAAAAACGGATTTTTTGAAATTCTGTAATTCCAAAGGTCTGAAGTTCCAAAATTCTAAAGTTCAGTGGAAATTATCAACTTCTGAATTTCCTATATTCTGAAAATCTAAAGTTTTGAATTTCAGAATTTCAGAATTTCAGGATTTCAGGATTTCAGAATCTCAGAATCTCAGAATCTCCGAACCTCAGAATCTCAGAATCTCAGAATTTCAGAATTTCAGAATTTCAGGATTTCAGGATTTCAGAATCTCAGAATCTCGGAATCTCAGAATCTCAGAATCTTAGAATCTCAGAATCTCAGGATTTCAGGATTTCAGAATCTCAGAATCTCGAAATCTCAGAATCTCAGAATCTCAGAATCTCAGAATCTCAGAATCTCAGAATCTCAGAATCTCAGAATCTCAGAATCTCAGAATCTCAGAATCTCAGAATCTCAGAATCTCAGAATCTCAGAATCTCAGAATCTCAGAACCTCAAAATCTCATATCCTCAAAATCTTAGAAGAATCTTAGAGAAGAAATAAATTGCTCTTGAATTTCTGAATTTCTGAATTTCTGAATTTCTGAATTTCTGAATTTCTGAATTTCTGAATTTCTGAATTTCTGAATTTCTGAATTTCTGAATTTCTGAATTTCTGAATTTCTGAATTTCTGAATTTCTGAATTTCTGAATTTCTGAATTTCTGAATTTCTGAATTTCTGAATTTCTGAATTTCTGAATTTCTGAATTTCTGAATTTCTGAATTTCTGAATTTCTGAACTTTTGAATTCCCGAACTTCTGATTATTTTTTTCAAAGACTTATAATTTTATTTTTTTAACTCTTAGATTTTTTTTTCGAGTTTCCCATTTTCCGATGTCTCGATAACTTCTGACCAAAAGTTGCTAATCTGAAAAATATTCAAATAGGTTTCCCTGTCTTTAACAACTCAATATAAAAAAGAATTCTCTAAAACTAGAAAATATTGTTTCTTCCTCTTCCTTTAACATACTGATTATAAAAACAGGGAAGTTGTTTTTATGTTCATTTGATCTCCAAAAAAAGAATATGATTCCATTTTTGCAACGGTTTGGACTACGTTCACACTTCCTGTTTCTGACCACCTGCTATGCATACATAAAAATCCATGTCACGTTTTTCATAATGAAAGCAAAAATAAGGGGAAACGCCTAATTTCCTCTTTGATCACTAACACAGCTGCTTGGAAGTTTTTTGGATGCTAGAAATTGTAAAAAATGAAAATTTCTATAGGGAAAAGGGAAACAACGAAACATTCACATCAGATAAGTCTGTTCACTTATCTTCTCCCATGGCTTTTTCTTTTTCTTAGTTTTCCGACTGAACACATTGTAAATTTTCTGTTTACATGACGTAAAACATTTTGTTGGCTGAAAAAAAGATCAGAAAGATTCGAGAAAACGGGTAGTAACCTAGAAGTGGTGTCAGTTTTCATTTGACATAATCGTCATTTTGAATCTTCTGTCTGTTTGTCTGTGCGTCCGTTTGGCTTTACATTTTTCGGAAATTTTTCATCAGCTCTTCTTTTTTGCAGTCTTCAACATCGGAATTTTCGAAATCCTGAATTGCCGAATCAACGAATTCTTGAAATTGGAATATCAGAATTAAGATATTCAGAAATTCCGAAAAGTTTTTATAATGAGAAGCTTGAATCCTTTTTCAAGTTCAGTATTTTTTCGGAAATTTTCCCGCATTTGCAGCTTTTTTGGATTGTAACTTTGTTCACAAATATGATACAATGTCTCAAATACTATCATTTTGTAGTGCTCGTCAAGTTCTATCATATCTAATTTAGTTAGTCAAAAAATATTGGTCCTAAAAGAAACTATGACAGGGCCCGCCACGGCCTGTTTTGGGCCCGTCCGCAAGTATGAAAACTAGAGATGTCTGTTGGTCCTCATGTCACGCTGTACGGTTTTGAAAAGCTTGAAAAATAAGTATAGATCACGTGACCCTTCATGAAAAAGTGAGAAGGTAAGCGGCGACCCAGTGAAAAATTGAATTAGATCGCGCCGAAGGCGCACCAGCTTGCTGGTATCATATAATTTATCAATAGATAGTATATTTGATATAGTATATTCTTGATCATTGATGATTTATTGAAATCTGTTCATCTCCAGATTTTTTTCTGTCTTTGGTCTATAAATGTCTAGACATTCCTTTTTGCTGTTCAGTTGATTTTTGGCCATATTCACAATTTCAGAAGCCTGGAGCTTGGTTGTCAAGTTTGCGATCACTTTGAAAATTTCGGAGGGTGTAAAACAGATCTAGATTGAAAAGATTGCATTCGCAGAAAAGATTGCATTCGGCCCGGCGGGCCCGTCATTTCACAAGTTTTGAAAATTTCAAAAAACACATAAGGGGGACCCTTATGTGATTTTTTTCGATCAAAAATTTTTTTTACGAGTTTTTTCGATTTTTTTTAGATCAAACAGACAAACAATCCAAAAAAAATGGAGAAAATTATATTGAGAGCTCAAAATGTGGTTCAAAAATACAAAATTTTTGATACCGGGCCCGGGCCTTGAAAATTTTCCCAGGCCCGGAATTTTACAAGTATGATTTCCTGGGATTTGTTACGGTCCGTACTTGGAAATGTCTAAAATTCTGAGTTTCTGAATTTCTGAATTTCATAATTTGATTTGAATTTTTGAACTTCTGAGTTTCTGAGTTTCTGAATTTCCGAATTTCTGATTTTTTAATTTTCAAATTTCTGAATTTCTCTGTTATCGAATTTCTTGAATTCTGTCAAATTTCCAAGTTTTTAGTTTTTTTTCAGTTTTTGTTATTTTTGAATTTCTGAATGTCTGATCTTGCATTTTTTCAAACTTCCAAAGTTCCAATAATCTGAATTTCTGAATCTTATTTCTTCGAATTTATTGGAGGTTCTGAGCTTTTGAATTCCCAAATTCTAAGAAATTCCTAACTACTTTTGCAGAACGCCAAAGTTTACTGTTTTCCACTGAAAGCAGTACTGTATTTCCGTCAAAATCTCATTTCGTATCAAATATCAAAGTCCACTATATATCCCCCCACCCTTTAAACATAATCCGTCCAAGAAAACAAAGAGACATTCTCCGTATCATTTTGCTTTCACCTATATGCGTGTGATCTTCCTCTCTTTAATATGCCTTTGCAAACCTCGTTCCTGCCGAAATTCCCTTTTTTCGCTAATCTTCGAACATCTCATTGCGCCTCCTCTGTCGTTTATCAAATACATGCTTCTAGTGTCTTCGATTCTTGTTACCTTGTTCCGATTTATTTACAATGAGGGGACAAAGGTTGTTTCTGGAAATTCTTAAATTCTGCGTTTCTGAAATGAAAAGGTTCTAACGTTGCGAAATTTTTAGTTTTCAAGATTCTGAAACTTAAAAAATCTTGAATTCAGAAATTCAGACGCTCTTAGTTTCTGAAATTTAGTAATCCTGATGTTTAGAAATTCTTAAGTTGAAATTTTCAAAACTCGAAATTTTGAAATTTTGAGATCCTGAAACCCTCGGGAATTGGAAATTTTCGATATTCCAAAACTCCGAAATTACGACATTTCTTTCTAAAACTTCTAGATTCTGAAAATTCGAGATTGTGGAATACTGAAATTCAAACATTTGAAACTGCCGAAATTCCTAAAGTTTGAAATTATGATATTCGAAATTCTGAAGTTTAAAAACTCCTTAAGTCCAAAATTTTGAAATCAGGAGAATTTAGAGTTTCAAGATTCTGAAAGTCTTGAAAATCTGAAGTTGCAAAGTTCTGAAATCTGTTGATCTTGAATTTCATGTTTCCGAAATTCTAAAAATATGAAACTCTAACATTTTGAAATTCTGAAATCCTTAATTTCCAAGATTCTGAAATTTCACGGCTTTGAAACCACAAAATTCTAAAATTCCGAAATTCTGAAATTCCAACATTCTGAAGTTCCGAAATCAGAAGTCGGTAATTGCAAGAATTTTCGAGATTCCAGAATTATATAATCCTTAGATTCAAACTATTTTATAATTTCGAAATAAGAAAGGTTCATGATTCTGAAATTCAAATTTGATTTGAAACTTTATCTTTCACTTCCCCACGCCTTCTATTCCATTCCCGAATCTCCTCCAAAAATTCCAAACGAATACAGAACGATATTCTGATTTTTCTTGTCACTAGATTGGTCACACAAGTCAGTCTCTTTTCCCAGTACATGTCCATATTTTCTGCGTCTCGCAGTTTTTATTCAATCCATCCCTTTTTTCCTTTTGTCTTATCCCCAAAAACCATCAACAGATGGCGTAGAATGGACGACTGTCTATTAGCCACTCGTCCATCTTTCATCAAATTGATGAGAACAGAAAAAAAGAATGCTTGTTTTTGGCTTTTTCTTCCTTTTCTTCTCTGACTTCCTGATTTGCCAATGTTGATTCTTTTTTGGTACCTTGTATCCTTTTTCTCTTTGTTTTTTAGTTCTACATTCTTTCGAAGACCCGGAAATTTTTGTTGTACAATTTTAAATAAGTGTAGGTCATTTTTCATGAAACGCCGAACAATTTTGATGGTGTTTCCCTACTTTTTTCTTCGAAAATTCGTCCACTATCTTCAAAAATCGCTTATCACAATGATAGAAGATGAAGTTTTTTTTTTATCAATGATCAAAAAATCGTGAATCCCAGAATCTAAAAACGTCAGAATCTCAGGTTTTCAGAATCTCAGGTTTTCAGAATCTCAGAATCTCAGAATCTCAGAAACTCAGAATCTCAGAATCTCAGAATCTCAGAATCTCAGAATCTCAGAATCTCAGAATCTCAGAATCTCAGAATCTCCGTTTTTTAGAACCCCAGGATGTAAGAATCTCAGAATCTCCGTTTTTTAGAACCCCAGGATGTAAGAATCTGAAGATCTTAGAATTCCGAAATCAAAAATTCTAGACTTTCAGGATCTCAGAAGAAATACACGTTCTGAGAATATCAAATTTCCTAAATTTCGTAGTATCTCAGAATCACTGATTTTCCGAATCAGTGATTTACAGAATCCCAGGATGTCAGAATGTCAGAATCTGCAGATTCTCTATGTTCAGAATCTCAGAATCTCAGAATCTCAGAATCTCAGAATCTCAGAATCTCAGAATCTCAGAATCTCAGAATCTCAGAATCTCAGAATCTCCGTTTTTTAGAACCCCAGGATGTAAGAATCTGAAGATCATAGAATTCCGAAATCAAAAATTCTAGACTTTCAGAATCTCCGAAGAAATACACGTTCTGAGAATATCAAATTTCCTAAATTTCGTAGTATCTCAGAATCACTGATTTTCCGAATCAGTGATTTACAGAATCCCAGGATCTCAGAATGTCAGAATCTGCAGATTCTGGATGTTCAGAATCTCAGACTCTTAGAAAAACGGAATCTAAAAATTCTAGATTTTCTGAATCTCAGAATTCATAAAAATAAATCTCTTTTTTTTTTGAAATTTTCGGGCTTTCAATTATTTTCGATTATTTCTATTTGTCCGGATGTCCCACAATTATTTTCTTCTGCGTCACCACTTTAACGAACAACCATTCATCAACCAAAAATCTACATTTTTTCCGCCTTATCTCTTGTCCTTCATCTTTTACCGAAGCATTTTTCAACGTTGTTTCGATGACGTCTCCAGCTTCTTCTTCTGTAGACTTCACCTTTTTTCTATGATTTTCTCATAGATCAGTCACCAAAAACTGACGGCATGCGTCAATTTGAAAGAGGGAAATCACAGATTTCCTGATTTCGAGTGACCAATTTTCCACTTTATTTCCGCTGTTTGAATTGTTTTATTGGTCAATGGAAAACCACTTTTTTGGTTTTAGGAACAGTTTTTGGCAGTTTTAAAGGCGTTGAAAATTCGGAGAAGTTTCCATTTTTGGTTTTGGCCGAAGCTCAACTTTTTTCGCTTTTCAAAATGTTTTCGTAAATTTTGAAACTACTGGAAAACCTCGGTATTGTTAGATCAAACATTTGAAAATTACCAGAAAATCACAAATTCAGAAATTCAGAAAATTACAATAAATATGAAAAAGTTTACATTATTCTGTCGTTCGTAAAGAATACGTTTTCTGAATCCCTACATGATTTACTTGATTTGTCCTGTCATCGTCAATTTAAGAATTTATTATTTTTAACTAATAATAAATCATGTTTTATTTAACGACCCCACTCTTTCGCCGATTTCTTCATTTTCTTTCATTTCATCCTGTATGATCTGAATCATAAAATAAACATGATAAATGTTCTCCCCTTTAAGCTTCATCTTCAAAAAATTGGAAACAGAAAAATCAAGAAGATCTCCTTCAAAAATTAGCTTCCAATCAGAATTAATGGAGGATTTAAATCAAGCAAAAGTTGCGCAATTAATTTCGCTAATTATCTTTTTAACCTTAACCGATTTTTAAAAAAATCAATATTTTTCATTTAAACTTTTCCATCTTTGGAAAATCCAAGAAAGAAGTGAAACTGAGTAGTTTTCTGAAATTACTGAAAAAAATGTTTTTCAGATGTTTGGTTTTTGTTTCTTCCATGTTTCCATTGCTCTATTAATGTTTTTCGAAGGATTCTGAATTTTTAAGCTGAATCATCAAAATTTTCAGATAACCAAAATCACAAATTATGCCAAATGACACTTTTACAGTCAATACGGAAGAATATCGGCCAGCCGAATGGGAAGATGAGGATTTTTGTATAAAGGTGAGCTAGTTGAGATTCTCAGGTTCTGAGGTTCTGAGATTCTGAGATTCTGAGATTCTGAAATTCTGAGATTCTGAGATTCTGAGATTCTGAAATTCTGAGATTCTGAAATTCTGAGATTCTCAGGTTCTGAGATTCTGAGATTCTGAGATTTTGAGATTCCGAAATTCTGAGATTCTCAGGTTCTGAGATTCTGATATTCTAAGATTCCGAGATTCTGAGATTCTGAAATTCTGAGATTCTAAGTTTCTGAGATTCTGAGATTCTGAGATTTCTAAAACATTTTATTTTCAGGTTCCCCGTACAAGTCGCGAAAATCAGCAGTTGAAATATGGGCATGTGGAAGATGACAACACAGACATTGCCTATTTAAATTTTCCCATTCTCCGAGCCAGCTTAATTTTCACTATCATATCAGTGACAGCTTTTATCAGTAAGATTCTAAGATTTTTTTATTATTAAACACAATTTTCAGTCGCCGTTCTTGCCGCTCTTCCCACAAATTATAAACCTTTACATGAGACAGAACTAATCGATAATTCCATAATTATCATTTACGGAGCAAAAATTTGGAGATGTCGGGTAAAATTTTTTTGTTTCAAAATTTTCAAAGAAAAGTATTTTCAGACATATCTGAAATTCCCAGACGACGGGTTACTGTCAATATTGAATCTGCTGGAATTGAATGTTTGGGGAAATGTGATTTTTCGTCTTGCCACATGTCTAACAATAGCTATTCGATTCTTTCATAGCATTGTTTTTAGGTTTGTGCGCCTTTAAATGATTTTTGGGAATTCTAGAATTTTTCAGAAATCTTTTGCTGAATGGATTTTGGAAAGATGTCCCAAATCCGATTTTTCGATGGTTATGTGATTTGATGCCGATGATCACATTGATTGAGACGAGTGCATTGGCAATGTTTAGTGTTATCACAATGCATAGTGATTTTAAAGGTTTGTTGGGAAATCATTAAAGAATTTAAAATTAAAACTGTTGAACACATTGTTCACATTTTCATGAAATAAACTTTCACCATTTTTGATTTCCAAAAAGTTACAAAATTTCTTTGGTTTTCGATTTTTTGATTTTCTTGATTTAAAAACAATTTTGAAATCTCTCAAATTTTCAGCTTTTAGAAAGTTTTTAATATCAAAACGTTCGAACTCCAAGATTTTGAACAATTTCTGAATTTCTGAATTTCTGAATTTCGGAAATTTTTTAGTTTCTTGAATCTTTGTGGAATATTTGAAATTTTGAAATTTTCAACTTTTCTAGAATTTCAGGAGATTTTGAAATTTCCAAAAAAAGAAACTAAGAAATGCTTGGGAAATGCAGAAAGTTCAAAATTCTGTAACTCGGTTTTCTCGAAATTTTTGAAAATTTGGAGATTCAGGAAATAACTCTTTCGAAACTTTCAATTTTTTGAAATTCCGCGATTTCTGAACGAAAATTAGAATTTCAGTTTTTTTTGAATATCAGAATCTTAGAATCTGAAAATCAAATAATCTGGAAATCTGAAAATTTCACATCAAATTTTTTTGGAATTTTTGAAAATTAGAAATGTTCAACTTTTCTGGAACTCCAGGAGTTCTAAAATTTTTTTTAATTTCTAATTTTTTTTCAGACATCAATCATTTCTGCAAATCTACCTTCGCAATTGTATCCGTTGTTAACATGTGTATTCCAACAGTGTTTCATTTCATTCTCTCCATAAACAGTTCAAAGGTAAGAATCTCAGATTTTCAGAACTTCAAAAAAATCCAAAAATTCAAAAAATTTTCAGAAATCCGTAGCTAGCCTAATGTTCACCAGAGCAGTATGTTCTATAGTTTTCGGTTACTGTGCTCCACAGTATTTCCAATTTCATATCGGATGGACCAAAGAGTCATTGTGCCATTCTTACAGTGAGCTTTTATTAATGAAATTCAGAAATTCGAGAATTCTGAAATTCTAAAATCATAAAGTCAAAAATGATAAAATATCCAAAAGTTTCGATATTTCACAGATTCCAAATAATACAAAATTTCCGTAACTTTCACAAAATTCGAAAAATCTGAAATTCCGGATTTCCACAAAACTAAAAAAAAACATTACATTTTCTTATTTTTTTTTCAATAAAACAAAACTTCCTATGGTCTTTTTTTCAGTCCCGCGCCACTTCGCCATAATGGAATACAGTCTATTTTTGGCATATATCACATTTCATCTCTTGGCTCTAAAAGATCTTCAAGGACTCCAATTCATCTGTTATCCACGATCATGTAGTGGAGAATGTGAACCATTGGATCCACAAAATTACGAAAAAGGAGAGAAATATGAGCATTGTCGAGCTTATGAGCACAATCAATGGAGGCTGAAGAATAATATGAAGTTTTGAAAAATTTCTAAAATTTTTGTGAATTTCTCTTACAGGTTCTCTTCATGAAACTATAGTGTTCTCATGATTCTCTTTTTGAAAATAAAAGTATTTTTTGAAAATACCGAATAACAGGTTGCTAAGTTTCAGAATCTCAGAATCTCAGAATCTCAGAATCTCAGAATCTCAGAATCTCAGAATCTCAGAATCTCAGAATCTCAGAATCTCAGAATCTCAGAATCTCAGAATCTCAGAATCTCAGAATCTCAGAATCTCAGAATCTCAGAATCTCAGAATCTCAGAATCTCAAAATCTCAGAATCTCAGAATCTCAGAATCTCAGAATCTCAGAATCTCAGAATCTCAGAATCTCAGAATCTCAAAATCTCAGAATCTCAGAATCTCAGAATCTCAGAATCTCAGAATCTCAGAATCTCAGAACCTCAGAATCTCATATTCTCAGAATCTCAGAATCTCAAAAATCTTTGAATTTCTGAAATTCTGAATTGCTTTTTAACATTTCAAACTTCTCTTCCCATTTTTCAAAAATGTATTCATTTTTTTACAAAAATATTATCACAATTCAATTTTGAAATTATCACAGATTAATATCATTATTGACAGATTACAGACTACAAAAATTATTTTTCACAAAAAAAACTTTAACATTTCTTCTTCACAGCGACTCGATCTCCTTGTACATCTTTGCAATTTGTGGTGCAAAGTAGTCTTCCAAAATCTTACGACGATTTTTCAATGTGGAGGTCACGAGTCCGTTTTCTTCGCTGAATTCCTGGAAATGGGAAAAAATAGTATCGTTAATGGAAAAATTGCGAAATTTCGGGTTCTGGAAATCTAGGTTAAATTTGTCAGGTTCTTCTAAAAATTTCAGAAAATACAAAGCAAGTTTATTATTTCTCAGTTAGAAATATTTTTGAGATTCATATTCTTAGGAAATACCGTTTTTAAAGAAGACAGTTCACATTGTGACCTTCTTCCTAATTTAATGGAGTTTCTGAAGCCGAGAAAGTTTGGAAATTTCGAAAATTGCGAAAATTCAAAAATCCGAAAATCAGATTTGATTAAAAAAGTTGACTTTTTCATTGAATTAGTCCGAATTTTGAGCCAATTCTTCTCGATTCTTGTGAAGAAACCGAAAAATTGTCAACTGATAAAATTTTGAGCATAAAGTCAACATTATTTTATCAGTTGACCACTTTCTGATATCTTTTGAAGGAACCGCGATTGACCACTTTAAAGATCAAACATCCCACCTGCAGTGTCAAATGCACATTTCGAATCAGCTCAATAGTCTGTAATCCATTTTCCTTTGCGTATTTGTTCAATTCCAGAATCACTGCATCCTTAACTTCCTTCTTCTCTATTATCACCTCAATAACTTTTCCCTTTCCTTCCAATGTCTTCACAGGAGGAAGCTGTTTGAAACGTGGCAAGTCTAGAACCACAATTCCCACCAAGAAAGAGCGTTCGGTGTTTCCAGTGACGTAAATTTGAGTAATCAGTGGAGAGTTTGCGTAAATTGCCTCAATTTGGATTGGTGAGACAAAATCTCCTTGACAGAGTTTGAACATTTCGTTTTTGCGGTCAATGATTTGGAGGGCACCCGTTGGAAGCCATTTTCCAATGTCTCCAGTGTGAAGCCAACCTGAAATTTCACTTTTTTCAAGCACCGATGTCCTAATTGTAAGAGCCAAACTAACCTTCCGAATCAATAGTCTTGGCGGTCAGTTCTGGATCCTGGAAGTATCCAGTCATCAGTGCTGCTCCCTTGAAGCACACCTCTCCCTCATCATTCATCGCCAAATAATTTTTTTCAGGAACATCGACAAGCTTCACTTGGGACCATGGAGCTGGTCCACCAACATTTCCGTAAGTGGTGTCCCATGGAAGAGTCAATGTGCCAGCTGCACTGCATTCTGTTTGGCCGTATCCTTCGACCAATGGACATCCGTAGGCATATCGAGTGAAAGTCTTGACTTCTTTGGTCACTGGAGCACCTCCTGTTGTTAGCACTTTGATTTTGCCACCTAACATTAGTTTGAGCTTCTTGAAAACGATTTTGTCGAAGAATGTGTCGTAGCGGAGCACGCCGTTCTGGAGTTGGCGAGCTTTGGTCTGGAAAATTCGGATTATTTTGAAGAAATCGATTGCCTAACTGATCTAATATCGCTCCACCTTTACTAACTCCACTTTCAATTATCTCAATTTCCGTAAAAGATTTTGAAAAGTTTGAAAGCTATAAAAATGTTAAGGTTATCATGACAAACATTTTATCAGTTGATAAATTTATTACATCTTTCATAGAAATTGAGATAATTGAGCTCAAATTCAGAGACGTTTAAAAAAACTACGAGATATGAGAAAGCTTTGAGAAGCGAGAGTGTGTGTCTGTCTGCGTCTCTCCCTCAAACTTCCAAACGCTGTATCTTACAAAAAAAGCTAAAAAAAGTCCGTTCTTACTGGTTTCTAGGGCGTTTTGAAAAAAAAGCCATGAACGATTCAACTGTTACAGCCCAATTCCCAAAGCTCACCTTCTTAGCATACTCGAACAGTTTTCTCGCGATAAACCCCTTTTTGGCGACTCCATTGTGCACAGCTTCATACAACTTGTTCAATAAACGTGGCACCAATGAAACAATCGTAGGCTGAAGAGCCTGAATCTGTGGTATCAAGGTGGCAGCATTTCCGTTGTAGATCCCAATTTTTCCTCCGAAATAAATAGCCAAAGTCTGCATTAGGTGTTCGTAGATGTGGGCTAAGCTCAGGAAACTGAAGTAGGTGTCTTCTTGACCGAACTTCCATTTATAGGCGATGGTCCAGGAAGTGAAGATTCCGGAGACAGCAGCCAGAAGACTTCCATGGGACATTTCGACTCCTTTTGGTCGTCCTGTTGTTCCGCTTGTGTGGCAAATCACATAAATTGTCTCAGGTTTTGGTTTTATTGGATTTCTCTTATTTCTCTTTCCGATCTCTTTGAACTCGTCGAAACTAAGAATTTCGACTTCATCGTGCTTCTGAGAAGTCGTCGAATGGTCCAGAATAATCAATGTCTTCATTGATTGAAGACGTTCTGGAGTTTTGGACGATAGAAAGCCCTCGGCACGTTTTGCGTTTTCACAGAAGATGATTTCCAGTTTGCAGTTGTCGATGATGTCGCTGGAAGTTTTTTTTTTTTGAATTTCAAAATTTTTTATCAGAACTATCGGCAATTTTTTTTACTACTAAGATATTTTCTCAATAACCAACCACAAAGTCTCCAGCTTGGACTGATGGTAGAGGGGTACTGTAGTCAAGTCGAATCCAGAAATTCCATGCATAGTATGCATGTAATTTCTCGAATGAATTCCAGCGATTCCGATCAACTTGTTGGTTGAATGCAATTTCGTCATGATTGCCAAAATTGCGGATCCGATGATCGTGGCTTGCTCGACGCCTTCTCGGTAGGTGGTGTAAACGTGTCTTCCGTTTACAGATTCTCCAAAAAGTTGACCATTCGGATTGAGTTGAGCACTACGAGTCAGCACATCCCAAACTGTTTTGGTGATGCCGTCAGGGCAACCGGTGATGGGTTCTGGAAGAAATTTAGGATTTAAAAAAAAATCTTCGAATTTCCAAATCTCAGAAAATCTAAATCTCAAAATTTTAGATTTTCTGAATTTCAGAGGCTCAGAATCTGAGTATCTCAGAACCTCAATTTTTATTTCAGGATGTCAGCATACCCGATCTTCAGAATTTCAAAAATTCAGAGTATCAGAATCTCAGATTCTTAGAAATTTCGTAATTTCAGCATTTCAGAATTTCAGAATCTTCAAATCTGAGTATCTCGGAATCCGAGAACCTCAGAATCTCAGAATCTCAGAATCTCAGAATCTCAGAATCTCAGAATTTCAGAATCTCAGAATCTAAGAATCTAAGAATTTCAGAATCTCAGAATCTCAAAATATCAGAATCTCAGAATCTCAAAATCTCAAAATCTAAGAATCTAAGAATCTCAGGTTCTCCGAATCTCAGAAAATTCAAAATTTCAGAAATTAAAAAATCAATTTACTGGAAATCTGAACACTCTCTCTGATCCGTTCGGGACCATCAATGAGTCTCGAAAATTGCTCAGGATGTGCCAACATCTTTTTCTGGCCCATTTTTCGTTTTCTAGGAGGATCTGAAATAATTTCAAATTTCCGGAAAAGTAGAGCAAAATTTCAAAAAGAAAATACAAGTTTTTGAAGAGCTGTAGATTAAAAATAGAAAATTTCCAAAAAAAATGACCCAGCCAGAATCCATTAGGAGGCTACAACTTCGCTACAATTCCTTCGATTCAAATCTAACTTTTTTCGGGAACAAGCAGAAAACTGTCATCTAAAGAAATAGTAAAATAACTCGTGGAAACGCAGAGAATGAGGGAAAGTAGTGAGGGATGACCTCATTTCAATTTCCCTCGCCGGATCGTGTTTCTTTTTCGTGGATTAATCCATTTTTCGGGATGAAACGTCCGGTAGTGAGGGGGGATTTCGTGTTTCTTATAATAAGCGTGAGGAACAGAGTAAATTGGATTAGAACATTGCGATGAAAGGAGAAGTTTTGAGGGAGTTATTAAGACAAATAGGATGTTCAAAAGTAGCAGATGTTTTTTTTATTCAAGAAAAAACATTTTAAAACTGACTAGTTTTGGTCCGTTTGCTCCATTTTTGGTTCAACTGAGAATTTTTTGAATTCCCGCCAATAAGTAAAACCAGTCGGTTTACGCCTCCTCGGGGCTAACCACGGTTTACTGCGGTGAAACGAAGAAGACTTCAAAATCAACATTTCGAAAAACTGAAAGTTTGGGCATCAACTAAGACACATTTCTGATCTATCTGTCCGGGTTCCAACTCAACCGGTTAACTTTGAGTGGGTGTAAAGGCGCGCTACATACATACGCACATACAAAATCTGGTGAATGTTATTAGTATTGATATTGATTCGAGACAGACTTCAATTTTTCAAAATTTTCAAGGATTTCAAAAAATTAGTAAATTTGAGGATTGGAAAATTAACACTAACTGAGATAAAAAGAAAAAAGGGAACAATTTTTTGAAGTTTAGATTTTAAAAAAGCATTTTGAGATTTTCGAAAATTTAATATAAAACATGGAACATGGAACAATTTAAAAATTGGAGTTTCAAAGTTCTTGAATTTGATTTTTTTTTCAGAATTTTTGAAAAATAGTAATCAAGAAAACAATTTCAAGCCAAGTCTTCAACTAGAAAACGTAAAAAAAGCTTTCTGTCAACTTTTACCAAATTTATCTCGATTCCTGGAAAAGGTATCAAAAAATGCTCAACTGATAAAATATTTGTGACATTATTCGTAACATTTCGTCAGTTGACCACTTTTTGATATCTTCCACAGGAAATGAGATAAATTATCTCAAAATTGAATTAAGGTCACATTTACCGGAGTCTCTTGTCGGTTAATATTGAAGGCTTACCGTCGGAGTGGCTCTTTTTAAACTCATATATATCATTTCCAGTGGAAAACACCAAAAAGAGGTCAACTGACAAAGTTCTTATCATAATATCAAAAATATTTTGTCAGTTAACCACGTTTTGATATCTTTCACAGAAAATGAGATATGACCTAAATTTCTCGAGTTAGCGGAGGCCGCCGCAAAAACTGAGCATATATTTGAAAATGAAATTTCATCCTCTTTCGAATGATATAGGTCTCGTCCCATAACTCCACATCTTCTGTGAGTCATTCCCTAGTAAGTCTTATATTCAACATTCCAAGGGCTCATTTTAAATTTTTTTGCCTATTACTGCAACATATAAAAATGACAAAAATAACTAACCTAACTTTTCACCTATACCTCTATCCCTTTTATATATACCCCGGAGACCCAATTTGTGGGCGTGAAAAGAGTCGCGCGGGCAGTGAAAACCGCAACACAAAGACACAAAAAAAGGGGGATTACTGTATTTTCTATCCCATCTGTTGTTTACAGCCATCTGAGGGG